CGGTAGCTCCCGCTCCCCCGACACCCTCTGCATCCCCCCAGGTCCCTCCGCCACCCCCTTTGTCCCTGCGGGTCCGTCACAGGCGGCGCTGATGTGAGCAGCTCTCCAGCCCCCGGCTGGCACGGCTCCTGGTCCTGCGCGCCTGCGACCCGCTCACCTGGCCGAGGCCGCCTGGCTCGCTGCACACAGAGGGCCCAGCCGGTCACTAGTTATGACCTGAAAGAGCAGGAGGCCACGGGCTGACAGGCGGTGGAAGGGGGAGGATGGAAGGGGGAAGACGGCTGCTCAGCCCATGGGAAACCCAGGCGGTGGAGGGTGAGGGAGGAGCTGTGTTAGACAGAATGGGGAAGGAGAAGGTGGAGGAGAGAGGGAACCAAGACACTGGGTGGGGCAGGGGGCTCCTTCCTTAGAGAGCAACTTAATTCCTGGTGCCCTGGCTGTCCTGTCCCTCTCTCTGTCCCCTCACGGCAGCTCTGAGGCCCCAGGGGCCCCGGACCAAGGGTGAGACATGCAGGGCCACACAGGGGACAGGTCCACTTGGGAATCCGACGGATCTGGGTTCAAATCCTGACCCTACCTCTGGGGGCTTCGTGCAGGCGCCCGGCTCTGTTTGTTCTCCCGGACATCCCCTGCTCACTGGGTGTCACAACACCTGGTTTCATCATGCTGCCTCCGCCGGGTGGTGGGAAGTGACGACCTTAGGGTAGGATAAGAAGCAGATGGGTGTGGAGGCGGGGTGCGCGTGGAGGACAGATGGCGATGCTGATGGGGCAAGCGTTGGCCCAGACCCTCGGACGGGGTTAGGAGTTGCAGCTTTGGAGGCAAACACCCTGGACTCAAGTCCCAATTAGGCTCTAATTACCTGTAATCTCAGGCCCCTTGCGGCCTCGCCGAGGCTCAGTTCCATCATTTAGGAAAGGGCACTGTCTGTCCTCCGAGGGCAGGCATGGGCTTACACGCAGTGACAGACATGCAATGACCACCCCGCTCGTCACCCCAGCTGCTGTGCTCACCAGCCCCGAAACCGCAGGCCCACTGTGTGCTTGTGAGTCAGTGTGCACTTCCCTGGGGACCAGGAAAGAGGTTTGGGCAGTTTCTCGGGGCTGTTGTGTAGGCCCTGCTGGGCTGCGGTGGGGTGGGGTGGGGTGGGTCCGGTGGTCTCAAGGCTGGCCCTGCTGTACTTTGCTGTCGGTCGCCAGCAGGACGCAGAGCCTGGGCACTCGGTGGGAGAGAGAGACCTCTACTGAGACCTTCCATGTTCCAGACCCGGCTTTTTCGGCCCAGGACCCTGCCTCAGGGTCCACCCTGCCGGCGGCCCTCATGTTCTCCTGTACTTCCTTGAAAGACAATTCCCCTGAAGAAGAAGAAGGCACCCGGGTGGGTGCTGGGCTCTGCGTGACCGTGGGAAGCCACGGGGATGTGAGGAGGCCAGAGGATGTACCACAGAAGGTGCATCCAGCGAAGGCAAAGGCAGCCTTGGTGCGGCCTGAAGGCAGCTGAGCCAGTGGCCGCTGAGTAGGGAAAGACAGGGAAGGGCGTTCCTGGCAGCAGGAACACGTGTGCAGAGGTGTGACGGGGCAGGGCTTGGGGGAGAACAGGGCACAGGCTGCCCAGTGCTTGGCCCCTGCTGAACGGGGAAACTGGGTCTGTGTCTCCGCAGGTTCCGTCTACGAGATCTGCGGGAATGAGTGCTGCCTCTCCACGGGGGACCTGGTCAAGGTCACCCAGGTTCGCCTCCAGAAGGTTGTCTGTGAGAACCCGAGCACGGGCCAGACCATAGAGCTGGACCCCAACTTCAAGGGTAAGGGTGGCACCTCTGTCTCCCCGAGTTCTGGGCCCCCTCCGGGCACACCTGCAGACACGCTCGTGGGCTTGCCGACTCCAGCACGCACTCCCTCTGGGTTAGCACGTGCGACGCTCATGACGCCCAGCCTTAAGGCTCAGGTTGTCCTCAGGGTGGTCTGATGCCCTGAGCCTGGCCTGGCTGCCCCCTCTCCCTGTCCATCTCTCTGATCACATCTTGACAGGGATTTTTTTTTTTTGTTCCAGGTCTTTGTCCACGTGCCTGTCTCTGTGTTTGCTCATACATTCACTTACTGAATATTATTGACACCCTCTGTGTGGCAGGCTCTGTGCTGGGGGTTGGGGTTCAGGATGAATCAGGGGCAGCCCGCTCAGGGTGGGGGCGGGGAGCTACCATGATGGCAGTGAGAGAAAGAGCAGCAGAAGTAGGCACAAGTTTAGAGGGGGCTCTGGCGGGAGTGGTCTGGGCAGGCTTCCCGGAGGAGGTGGCCCCGTGCTGGAGGAAGGATCCCTAGAAGGAGTAACCAGAGGGAGCAGCATGTGCATATTTGGGGCTCCAGAAACCCCATGTAGCTCAGGTATTTCGGGAAGTGTGTAGTGTGGTGGACTGTGGGCCCGATGCTAAAGCCAGCAGCCTGGACGGGAATCCCACCTGCAACCACCGGCTGTGGCCGTGGTCAGTTCCCCTGACCTCCCCGGGCCTCAGCTTCCTCCTCGGTGACAGGGGCACTCAGGCGCGATGTGAGGATGAGATGAGTGGCCTTGCATGAGTTGCCATGCATGAAGGCCTGGCACAGAGCAGGTGCCCTCTGAATGCTGGTCTTAGTATGAGTCACTGTGATCGCCCAAACAGGATAGGTGAGGCTGTGTGTTCCAGATGGGGTGGGAGGTGGCGGGAGTCAGACCGAAAGGGGCCTGTGTGGGGCACAGACACGTTTAGGCAGTGGTTCTCGACCTTCTGGCCCTTTAAATACAGTTCCTCATGTTGTGACCCAACCATAAAATTATTTTCGTTGCTACTTCATAACTGTAATGTTGCTACTGTTATGAATCGTAATGTAAATATCTGATATGCAGGATGGCCTTAGGCGACCCCTGTGAAAGGGTCATTCGACCGCCAAAGGGGTCGAGACCCACAGGTTGAGAACCGCTGCTTAGGTCTTTATTTTGAAGACACTGAGGAGCCAGTGAGGGTTTTATTTTTTTAATATATTTTATTGATTTTTTACAGAGAGGAAGGGAGAGGGATAGAGAGTTAGAAGCATCAATGAGAGAGAAACATCGATCAGCTGCCTCCTGCACACCCCCTACTGGGGATGTGCCCGAAACCAAGGTACATGCCCTTGACCAGAATCGAACCTGGGACCTTTCAGTCCACAGGCCGACGCTCTATCCACTGAGCCAAACCAGTCAGGGCAAGTGAGGGTTTTAAATATGAAAGTGATGTTGTGTTGTTTTGTATTTGAGGATTTTGCTTTTATTTTGAAATAATTTCAAATTTACAAAAGACTTGCTAGAACTACTGTACACTTTATCCAGATTTACTAATTGCTAAACATTTTGTTATGTTTGCTTTCTCTCTCTTTCCCTTCCTCTCTCTTTCATACACACGCACACATTGAACACGTCACGTCACCATATATGTATGTGTTTATGTATATACTAGAGGCCCGGTGCATGAGATTCATGCACTCGGGGGGAGGGGGCGCCCTCAGCCCTGCCTGTACCCTCACAGTCCCCAGGAACCCTCAGGGGATGTCCAGCTGAGGGCTTAAGTGGGCCTAAGACGTCAGTCAGACATCCTTAGCACTGCCGCAAAGGTGGGAGAGGCTCCCGTCACCGTCACTGCGCTCACCAGCCATGAACCCGGCTTCTGGCTGAGTGGTGTGCCCCCTGTGGGAGCACACTGACCACCACGGGGGCAGCTCCTGCGTTGAGCATCTGCCCCCTGGTGGTCAGTGTGTATCACAGTGACCTGTCTTTCCGCCGTTTGGTCGATTTGCATATTAGCCTTTTATTATATAGGATTTTCCTTGAATCATTTGAGAGTAAATGGCAGACATGATGCCCTTTACATCTAAATATTACTCCCAATATTTAGTGTGTCTCTTAAGAACAAGGACATATGCTCACAAAACTATAGTTTAATGATCAAATCTAGGAAATTTAATATTGATACAACACTAGTGCCTAACCCAGTCTGTATTCGTTTCACCAGCTGCCCTAATAATGCCCTTTGTAGCAGTTTTTCCCCTTGATCCCGAATCCAGTCCCAGATCACACAGAGCAGGCAGCCATTCTGTTTCTTAGTCCCCTTTGGGCTGGGAAAGTCCCTCAGCCTTTCCTTGTCCTGACATCCACGTTTCAAAGAGTCCAGACCAGTGCTTTTGCAGAATGGCCCTCAGTCCGGATCTGTAAGATGTTTCCTAGCTTGAATTCTTGTTGAGTGTTTTGGGCAGGAAAATCTCAGGAGTCATGTCCAGATGAGGGGTTAGTTTAGGGCAGTCGGGTGGCAAGATTGGATGGGGTGGGGGAGGGGCAGAGGTGAGAGCAGCCAGAATTGGCAGACACTTAAGTGGCGGGGAGGGGGCGATGTCAGAGCTCGTTTGGCCAGTGGCTCCTGGTCTCTAGTTTGGGGAAGGGGGACAATGGCGCTGCCCCAGGAAGGGGTGGCTGGTGTGGGAAGTGTGGCGTTGGAGCAGTGGTGAGGTATCCGGAGGCAAAGTTGGCAAAACGAGAGGCAGGTGGGGTCAGGAGGTAGGAAAATGTGGCAGCTGTCAGTGTGTCTATGGGGAATAGGTCCCTGTTCTCTTCTCTCTCTCTGAACCCGTGTCTGCCTGTGTGTCAGAGGGACCATCTCCACTCGGCCCCTCGCTGTCCATTCACACGTGGTCACTTGCTGCCTCCCCTTTCTCAACCCTACGGCCCGGGTATCCAGGTGCTGGCCTGTCCTTGGCACCTGTCCTCGGGGGAGTCTGGGGCCTCTTTGGCCAGACTGGGGCCTGGTATATTTAGTCCTGGACCCAACCCAGACTTGCCCCCCTGACACCCTCTGCTGTGCCCCCAGGCCTCTTCAGCCCCCTCACCGGCCCCCAGAGCTATGGAACCCTGGAGGAACTGATCTCTGCTATCAACCGGAGCTCCAAGCAGCTGCCCATCTGGTTCATGTCGACCCACAGAATTGACACAAAGGCCATGGTGGTGCCTGAGGAGCAGCCCCTCATGCTGGAGTCTGTGGAAATGTACCTCGGGGTCTGCTCCGCCCGCTGTGTGCTGGGCACGGAGACCCAGGTGACGGTGCTGCACCTGCCCCTGTCCACGAAGGGGCCCTTCTGGGAACTGGAGACTGGTGCCCCTCGGCCCCTGCTGCAGGCCCTGGCCCTGAGGGACCGCCAGCTCACCTGCCCTGCCTTCCCCTGGCGCTCCTTGATCCTGAGGCCCCAGTATGATATCCTAGCCATCATGCACAGTGAGTTGTCGGGGCAGGTGGGTGGAGGTTGTTGGGGGAAGGAAAGAGGGGGTCTGGGAAGCAGCTCTGATGGAGGACCCCCGCCCATAGTCTAGGGATTCCAGGTGGCTTACGGAATAGATTCTCAAAGAGTGGGAAGTAGATGTAAAAGGAGATAGGAAAATAGGGTAAGTTGAGAGTGGGGTCCCAGGATTTTATAAAATTGCGGGAAGTTGGGTTGTGAGGTACTAGCAGCCAGGTCAAAGAGACCAGTGTCACCAAGCAACACCTTGACCATTTGCTCGGAGAAACATGTTTTCCTGCCTCTGGGGAGAGCAGTATTGTTCCGAGGGCCCTTCTGTCAGAGTGACAGGGCACCGAGGGGAGCCCCCAGCTGCGCACAAGCTATTTCTCAGGGCAGGCTGGTGGCAGCAGGCAGAGCAGGGTTGCTGTCCAGTCGGAGGCCGAGCCTGAGCAGAGGTAGAAGAATGGCACCTGGGGCCTCTTCCCCAGAGGCCAGAGTTTGAGGTTCGGCTTCCTGGCAGTTACCAAGAGCAACTAGTCGGGATTGCTGGCAGACGACAGAGCCAAGTGGGGATTTTTGGCCTTGATTTTAAAAAACCTTTAAAAACTACTTTACGCCCAGCTGGTGTGGCTCAGTGGTTAAGCATTGACCCATGAACCAAGAGGTCACTGGTTCGACTCCCAGTCAGGGCACATGCCTGGGGTTGCGGGATAGATTCCCAGTAGGGGGCGTGCAGGAGGCAGTGGATCAATGATTCTTTCTCATCATTTATGTTTCTATCTCTCTACTCTCTCCCTTCCTCTCTCTAAAATCAATAAAGGCATATTACAAGAAAACAAAACACAAAACACAAAAACCTACTTTACTATGTAAAAATTCAATCCATTACAAAAGCAGGGAAGAATATAACAACCCCCATGACTCCATTACCCAACATCATAATTGTTGACTCATTATCGATCCTGTTTCATCTCTCCCCAGCCCCCTCTCCCCACTCCATCTCACCTGATAATTTCGAAGCAAACCCCAGGTATCATAACCTTTCTTTTGAAAATACTCCAATATGTGTCTCTATTTTATTTTTTTTAAATATATTTTATTGATTTTTTACAGAGAGGAAGGGAGAGAGAGAGTTAGAAACATCGATGAGAGAGAAACATCGATCAGCTCCCTCCTTCACATCTCCTTCTGGGGTTGTGCCCGCAAGCCAGGTACATGCCCTTGACCAGAATCGAACCTGGGACGTTTCAGTCCGCAGGCCGACGCTCTATCCACTGAGCCAAACCGGTTTCAGCAATGTGTCTCTATTTTAAAATGTGACTCTTTTTCCCAAGACACTGAAGTGTTGAAGAACACTTTATCTGACAATGCACCACGCCTAACAATTTCATCCAGCAGTCCTCAGTCTGCTGAGACCCTGGCTGTAATTCTGTTTGGATCACCTTCCTGACAAGGCATCGTTAACCACGAATCTCAGCCAACAGGACGCAGCAGCAGCAGCACTTACCAGTTCATATCTGACCACGCTTCATGGCAGGTGCTCCTGGCCGTGGACCACATGGCTCTCCCTGGCCTGTTTTCTGGTTTCTCTCCAGCTCCACTTGGTCTGATGGATGATACCGATCAGCACTCCCGGCAGCTTGAGCTGCTCTTTGGCTTGGTGACCACTAGCTTTTTGGGGTTTACGTAGACGTTCATGTCTTTGTACTTCTGTTGGATAACAACTCCTATTTTCTGATTGGACTGATGGTTTATTTTTTATTTTTTAAAATATGTTTTTATTGATTTTTTTTAGAGAGAGAGGAAAGGAGAGGGAAAGAGAGAAAAACATCAATGAGTGAGAAACATCTATCAGCTGCCTCCTGCACGATTGAGCCTGCAACCCAGGCATGTGCCCCATGACTGGGACTCGAACCTGAGACCTTCCAGTGCGTGGGCTGACACTCTAGCCACTGAGCCATGCCGGATGGATGCTTTAGAATGGAGACTGGCCCAATGTCATTGCCATTTTTAAAAAAATTATTATAGTGCTTGGGTAAAGTCTTCGACTTTTTAAATTTTTGGTAAACTGCTTGAGTTTGGGTACAGACTACTTTCCTTCTTTGTAATTATCCTGTTCAGTAGTTATTTTCACTGCACCTGACCTGGTCACAACAGATTCTTCCTCCTCCTCGCTCGGTTCCACACGAAATAGCTCCCCACTTTTCTGCACACGCTCCAGCCATTCAGGCACAAGGTCGGTCTCGATGTGGCTTCTTCTTTATATCCTTAGTTGTAGGACTTCTTCTCAGCTAGATTTCAGGTGGTTCAAAATGATGGTTCTCTTGTAGTTTAGTTGCAGTTTTGATGTGGTTGTGGGAGGACTCCAGTGCCGCATTTATCTACGCCATCTTTTTTTAAAATTAATTTTGAGAGAAAGATATTGATTTGTTGTTCCACTTATTTATGTATTCATTAGTTGATACTTGAATATGCCCTGACCAGGGATCGAGCCTGCAACCTTAGTGTATGGGGATGACACTCTAACCAACTGAGCTACCTGAGCAGGGCCCTGTGCCACCATCCTAACCGGAAGCTTGCAACTCTTTTTTTTTTTTTTTTTTTGAACAGACACAATACCATCATCACACCAAAAGAGAGAACAAGAACTCCTAGCACATGGTGATAATACCCACCTGGTGTTTGAATTTCCTCCGCTGTCTCATAATTTTGTTTTAGTTTATTCACCTCAGGACCCACATAAGGTCCACAATATTGCCGTTGATTGTTTTGTCTTTTAAGCTATAGGTTCCCCTTTCTTCTCTATTTTTCTTGTAATTTTTCTGTTGAAGGGAGTAGGCCATCTGTGCTACAGGCTTCTTCACATTTTGGGTTTTGTTGCCAGCATCCCTGTGGAGTGTTAACCTGCTCTGTCCTCTGACTCTCCCGTTGGGTCTGGCCCTGAGCCCACCCCAGGTTGGGTGACTCAGTCACAGCTGTATGCGTCCCAGTGAAAAGACACAAAGCACAGTCAGCACAGGGAAAGTACAGGCGGAGGAGCCCAGAGGACACGGGGGAGTCACACGGGGCACACTGAATTCCTGCAGCACTGAACTGTGACAACACGTGTGAAACCAGGGAAACGCATTAGAGAACCGGCGCCCAAGGTTTTTACTGGGGCTGATCACAGAGGCGTCCTCTGCCTGGCATGTACTGAGATTCCAGACTCCCGGAAGGAAAGCAGGTGTTCAGCTTAAACCACGCTGTTTGTACAGCTTAGGCACCGTGACCCACTCTTATCAGGAAATGGTGGGGACCCTCCCCGAATCCACATGCTTGCACGTCAGCCGGGAACAACACGCAGGCAGGCAGGCTTTTCTAGGGACAGCAGGCTCGGCCTGCTGCTAGCTCTTTCTGCTCACCTGCAAACGGGCACTTCGCTCGAGGCCTGAACAGATGCAGGAGGCACAGTTTGTCACAGTTGCGGGGCGTGGGGCACGGAATCCACACGTGGCTCTGTGTCTGCCACCGACCTGACTACCCTGAGCACCAGCCTTGCCACGAGGTGTAGCTCAAATAACACCATGGATGGGCCAGTGTGATGTGAGTAGCTGTTGATGACCACTGCCTCGATCCATGCTTTCATTAGAGATTGCAATCCCGTCATCCCTTCTTCAAGGGAAACCGCATCAAGAGAAAACTCCCCTCCTCTGCTCTTTTGTTCCAGTTTGTAGGAAATACAGGACATTGTGTTTGTCAACGTAGAGGTCCCCGGGACCATTCACCTCCACTCAGGCTCGGCCTCCAATGGCCAGGCTCTACCTCCGTTTCACCAGCCCTGCCACCAGCCTGCACTGAGACTAAGAAATATCCTTTTTTCCTTTTTTTTTTTTACTAGTTTTTAAAAAAATGAGTTGGCTCCTCAACATCCTTCAATGGGTGGTTTAGTTTTTTATTTTTTATCACTATGAACTCAGGGATGAAATGTTTTCAATATTTCAATCCATTGAAATTGTTAATCTTATGGGAAGCTCAAACTAGCTCAGCTTGGCCAGTGGGAGCCATGGAAGCTGTTTCACATTGGCCCCTAAATCCTTTTGACAAACCTTAGTGGTCTTAAATAGATTTTCTTGCTTTCTTGTAAAAGATATTTCAGGTTCATCTTGAGCATTTCCTCCTCAGGAAATTAGCTCTTTCCCAGGGAGCCCTGGGCAATAAGAGACCACATCTGGGGAGCCAAGGATTTTGAGGGCTTGGCAGGCTGTGCTGGATAATGAGGCAGCTCAGGTAACCCTTAAAATATTTTGAAGAAAAAAACAAAACACAGAATGGACCCCCACGTGCCCATCTTCTAGCTTCAACCCATTATCAGCTCATCTAGCACAAAGCAAAAATCCCAAAAATGTGACCGAGGGAAGTCATCACCACCCCTCTGAGCCTCTGTGTTCTCATCTGCAAAATGGGAGGGTATGCCTGCTCCGTCTTCTATGTGGATCAGACAACACAGTGGGTGGGCCAGTTTGCCTCATAATCACAGTCACCCTTTGAGTTTATGTACCAAGTACTAATCCAGAGAGGAGGCAAGTTGTCCAAGGCCATTTAGTCTCTTTTTCTTGATTTGGTTTTATATCTTTATTTACATCCAGAAAGGACTTGGAAAGGCAGCTTATAAAATGACATCAAAAATTCAATTCCAGAGAGGAGGCAAGTTGTCCAAGGCCATTTAGTCTGTTTTTCTTGATTGGGTTTTATATCTTTATTTACATCCAGAAAGGACTTAGAAAGGCAGCTTATAAAATGACATCAAAAATTCAATAAAATTTAAAAGTGGTTGAACTGATTGGATATTTGGTATTAAGGAATTATCAAATAATCATTATTATTTCAATGTGGTAATGGCATTGTGGTTATGCTTTAAAATTTTTAAACCATCCCTTCTTTTAGGGGCTGAAATAGTCAAAGATGGTGTGATGTGATTGTTCTGATTCAGAATAATTCCGTGGAGGGGAATAGTTGGATGGGAGTAGAAATTAAAGATGAGCTTTGAGTTCAGTGTTGAAGCTGGGTACATGGGGGGTCACTATACTAGTCTCCCTACTTTCATAAACGTTTAATAATTTCTAAAATAACTTAAAAAAAAAGAGGTTGGAGACAAGAGTGGCCAAGGAATCTGGTACAGCAGGAAAATGCTGGCTGGCGAGAAAAGACAAGAACGGGAGAGGTCAGCCGGCCCAGATCTCTTTGCTGGGGGTGGAGAGTGCACCGCTGAGGTGGGTGTGGCCATGCCACTGAGCTGACTCTTCTCCACAGTGCGCAGGACCATCGTCAACATCCCTTCCACCCTGGAGGTCGACGTGGAGGATGTCACTGCCTCCTCTGAACACTTCCACTTCATCCAACCGCTGCTGCTGAGTGAGGTCCTGGCCCGGGGAGGCCCCTTCCCCCTGAACACAGAGATCCTGGAAGTTCCAGACGGGCCCCCCATCTTCCTCAGCCCTTGGGTGGGCTCCTTGCGGAAAGGCCAGAGGCTCTGCATCTATGGCCTGGCTTCGCCACCCTGGCGGGTCCTAGCCTCATCCAAGGGCCGAAAGATGCCCAGGTACTTCCTGGTCTCTGGCGCCTACCAGGGTAAACTGCGGCGACGGCCAAGAGAGTTCTCCACGGCCTATGACATCCTGAGCGCTCTCCAGCCGGGCCAGCCACTGCGGGTGGTGGCCATGCAGGACTGTGAGGGGGATGAGATAGAGATCCCTGGGTTCACTTCCCTGACTATGGGAGACAGGTTGGAGGTGGTGGGGTCTGGTCAGGCCCTCGACGCTCAGGGCGGGGACGTAGACATCTTGGTGTGTCATCAGCTCAGTGACCAGGCTGAGGAGGAAGAGTGTGAAGAGGAGGCAGAGAACCAAGAACAGATTCTGCTGCCGCTCTACTTCTCTGGCGGCTTCGTGGAGGAGATGAGTGATAGCCGGCGATACAGCCTGGCAGATCTGACTGCCCAGTTCCCACTGCCCTGTGAGGTCAAGGTGGTGACCAAGGACACCAGCCACCCTGCTGACCCTCTGTCCTTCTTCCCGGGCCTGCGGCTGGAGGAGAAGATCATGGAACCCTTCTTGGTGGTCAGCCTGGACTCTGAGCCTGGAGTGTCCTTCGAGATTCCTCCCCGGTGGCTGGACCTGACTGTTGTGGAGGACGAGAAGCAGCCAGGCCAGCCAGCTGGGTCTCTCCCCATAATCACAGTGGAGGAGCTGACAGATGTCTTCTATTATCACCTGCGGAAGTTACCTGCCTTTGAGAGCCAATCCCCCCCACCCAGGCCCCCGAAGCGCCAGAACCTCAGTGGGCAGAAGAAACAGAGCAGCCAGGAGAGAAGCATCAAGGTACCAGTATAACCAAAGTTGGTGGGGATGGGTTCACCGGTTAGGGTCACTGCAAGTCCAGCCATTCTCCTTTGTCTAGCATCACATTTCTCTTACAATCGTCTAGAACTTGCATTTAGAAACGTGCACACTTTGCACCTGTTATTCTTATTCCATCCTCACAGGCCTGACGTTGGTGTGGTTACCATGTTTTATGGTTAAGTGACTCACAGACCCTGAGATTCACCGGAAGTCACAGCTAATAAACAGGAGGCCTGAACTGGAGCATCAGCATACTGACTCCAAGGTCACTGTGCTTTGCCTCTTTGCTACCCTTGATGTCACTCTAGTTCAAGCTTCATCGTTTTTCACTTCAACTGTTTCAGCAGCCTCTTCAACCCTTTCCACTGCTGTCAGAATTGCCTTCTAAATCCTTCCCTGGTCACCAATGGGTTTTGGCCCTATTTTCTGAAACCTCCAGTGGCTCCCCATTGCCAGGGGGTAATGTAGGCCCCGTAACAGCATCAGTGTCCCTTCTAAGCTGACCTCAGTCTCACTTTCCCAGGCCCACCTTCCCCCCACCCACTCTGCAGTCCACACTCCAGCCAGAGAAGCTCCTGACGCCTCCTCACTATGCCAGGACCCCTGCCTCAGCACTTGGCACACACCAACCCTTTATCTTCTTTCTTTCTGGCTCACGGGCAAGGCTCAGCTCAGATTTCCTCCTAGGCACTGAGTCCTCCCTCTCGTGTATTCACACTGCATGTTGGATGTAGCTTGCAGGTGGGGTGGGGGGCACGTAGTTTTCAATTTGATATACCCGAGTCTGTCTGGCTAGAATGAGAGTTCTGTGGGTGCAGGGACCTCACCCACTCCAAAGTGGACAGAGAAATGCCAGAGAGTGCTGAACTGAATGAAACAGAATCACAGTAAGAGGAGAGAACCAGTCACAGAGACAGAAAGACTGTTGTAGTCCCAGTTTACTCAATTTGTGGCCTGGACTCAGTATCGTTCCTTATCAGTGAACCTGACATAACATCGCTCACCGCTGTTACATTAGCTGCTTCCTGCAGGGTGTTTACTCTGTGGCAGGCACCTAAGCATTGCTCCACCTGGCTCTCATGTTGTACCTCTGAGGTGGCCACTGATATCCTCTCTTTGTACCGAGGAGAAAATAAGAGTGCTGGCAGGTAATTTACCTGAAATCACCTGGCTAGCAAGTGGTGAGGGGGGTTTAAAATGGGGTCTGACCACTGGGCTTGAACAGCTAACTACCATGCTCCACTCGTAGTTTGCACTGTGTGGATAGAAAGTTCAAAAAATGGATGCTGGGTCTCAGTCCAGAAAGAGGTCATATCTCAAGAGGGGCCGTTGTTGACCTGTCCCAGCCTTGGTTCCCGATGGACGTGACTTTGGGCCCAGCTCCTGCTTGTCGTCCTTGATCCAGCAGCTTGTCCTCTCTGGGTCTTAGTATTCTTTGTTGCTGATCAGGGAGCTATACGTGTTTGTTCTCCAAAGCACGGTGTGGTGGAAAGAGCACCAGCTTTAGGTGGCAGACATGGTCTGGTGCCGGGGTCCAGCCCCAGCAGTTCAGGGGTTCCCAAAGGTGTGGACGGAGTCGGCGAAGAATGCTTTACACGGAGACAGCGTTCATAGCTCTCTAGCTCTCTTTAGTCTCCGTGGATCTTCCTGTGCCTGGCTGAGGCCACAGAGAAAGATCCTGAGGCAAACTGAGCCTTTATTTTATAGTCAGAGGTAAACAAGGTAGTGGTTACCAAAGTTACACTGTTCTTGTGAGTTTCACGTGTTCTTGTTCTTGCTGCACTTCCCTCAGCCCATTAGCTTCCCAGATAAGATCTAGGGAGCGTTATAAGGTCAAGCCTAATTATGCTAAGAGGACTGTGCCCTCTAAGCTGGGACTTGTTTGTTTGTGACTTTGCCAACAGGTCAGTCTGAGGCTTAACCCTATAGCTGCTCCCCACAGTCTGGGTCCAAGTGTTGGTCCAGCTCGGGTCCCCGTGTGAGGTCTGACATGGCATACTCTCTCTGACCCCATTTCCTCATGTGTCAATTGGGGACTGAAGCAACTACTCAGAGGCTCACTCGAGGGAGCAGATATGCATATAGTATCTGGCACCAGGTAGTTGTGCAATGAAAGTCCTCTTCCTTCTGGGACTCCTCTCAGCCCTGGCACTCTGTCCTGAGGCTTTGTGACATTTTCCTCCTTCAGCAACAGGTGACCAAACTCCTATGTGGATACTGTCTCTAGCCTCTAATCATATCATCTCTCACCCTGGCCCCTTTCTCCCCTGCCAAAGAACATTCCATGTGCTTATAGCAAAAACCCCTGGGGTCCTGAGAAGCCCTACCCCGAAAAGGAGGTAGAGAAAGGAACAGAAGAAGTGACATTTGAAGGAAATTACATTTCATGGATTCTGCTGCTCTATTTCTTGGGACCCTGCTGACTTCTGCTTTTTCTCCCACTTAGTCTTCTAAAGCCCTAGCACAGCAGCCACCCCCTCTGTTGCCCAAACTCAAGATGAAAACCCTGCCAGCGGTCATAGATGGCATATCAAATACCTACAGCAAGATCTCTGCCAATAAGAAGGGCCTGAAGCCCACTCAGTCCAACATTCTGGATCCAGGTAAGTCCTTTCAGCCCCTATTCACCCCTATCCTTTCTTCTACCCTTCCTACGCTGATCCTCTGAGGCTGCTGGCCAAACATTCAGCAAGGCCCTGCCAACAGGCAGACCCTTCTGTGGTCCCAGCTGGATGGTCAAGCCTCTATAGGGGGCGCTTAGGCTGAAGCGTCCCCACTGTCCCTCTCCTAGCCCTGGCTCCCGATGGAAGTGACTTTGGGTCCAGTTCCTGCTTGTTGTCTGCACAGAGCCCTGGCAAGGAAAATGAGTTCCTCTCTCAACACACTCCCCTCCGTCCCCAAGGCATACAGGGGGAATGTCTGCAGTGTTCAGTCAGAATTTACAGTTTCCAGGCTAGCAAGAACCTTAGAGCACTCAGACCAACCCTTCCCTGTCCGGGCGAGGAAGTGTGCCCTAAAGTGGTAAAGTGGGGGAAGGAACCTGCTTAAGGACAGATCCTCACTGACCTGGACTCCTTTGCAGATGACGAAGACCACGATTATGAAGAGGTAGTTGAGCACTTTCGGAAAACCCTCTAGATGCCGGAGGAACCATGCTTCCTGACTGCTGCTTCTCAGGGAATCCGGGATCCCAGCCAATGCTACACGCCGTTAGAAGACCTTGGACAGTCTCACAGAAACCGAACCGCGGACAGGGAATGGCTTTGTGGGACGGATCAGAAATGGGATGGACACAGTCCCAGCTTCCCTCGGGTTCTCTGAGAGCTGGCTTGTTTGGGCCCAGCCCCTACACTTGACTCAGTGTCGGTGTCCAGAAGAGCCAACTCGTTTCTACTCCATCAAATGGGATGGACACAGTCCCAGCTTCCCTCGGGTTCTCGGTCTCTGCCACTGAGAGCTGGCTTGTTTGGACCCAGCCCCTACACTTGACTCAGTGTTGGTGTCCAGAAGAGCCAACTCATTTCTACTCCATCGTGTGTCCCCTACACCAGCTGTCCCACTGGTCGGTAAGAAAGGAATCAAAACCACCAACTTCGGTGATGGCAGCACAGTGACTTCTGCCTCTTGGTAAAGGGGGACTCAATCCTGATCACACTGAACTGAGAGCCCTTTATGTTTGCCACCCCCCTGGCCCCCTTCCTGCTCCACTCTTCCTCCCTCTCCCCTGTCAAGGCTCTAAGCTCCTGGGATACCAGGACTGTCTTCCTCCTCTCTGCAGCTCCTAGCACATGACAGCTGTACATGACTACCCAAGATTGTTTCACTCAAGAACCATAAAATAAAAAGGACACCTGAGCTCCTGGGAAAATGACAAAGACATCACTTATTCTGTGTGGCAGATCCTTTACAAACCTATTTAAATCCTCCAGTTTCTGAGGTAGACAATAATAGCCTGATTTTCAAGATCAGGAAACAAGCTTGGGTGATCAAGTGGTTCAGGAGGCAAACTGGTCACGAACCTGGGTCAGGATGCCAGCTCACCACCTATCAGCTATGACTAGAGCAAGTTATTTTAACCTAAGATTTAGTTTCTTCACATGTAAAATGAAACTAAGTTACCTACCTCACAGGATTGTTTTAAGAATCAAATCAGGTAACTTTTGTAAAGCATTTAACACAGTGCTTGGGACATAACAAACACTTGATAAACGTGTATCATTATTACTGACCAATATCAAACCTATATTCTTCCCACACGTCCACATTATCTCCTAGCCATGGAATCATCTGTTTAACTCAGCTTCCAAGGTCATTTTAGGCCTGTTCAGTGAGGGAAGACCATAGGCCTCATTTCCTGAAGTGGTGGGACTTTGGTTTCCTGGAACTAACCACCATGGTCAGCAGAGGACAGGAGGCAGACAAAAAGGTGATCTAAGTGTCCACTTGAGGTGAGGGCCAAATTTCCAATTCCTGGATTCTAGGAACTACACCTGAGTTTGTCATCCTTTTGCTTGTTATCATCCCTCTGGGCTGTCTGTTCTAGGAACTACACCTGAGTTTGTCATCCTTTTGCTTATCATCCCTCTGGGCTGTCTTGACCTATTGCACTTCCCAGGCCTTCTGGCCTTCGTACCACTGCATGGATTTTTCCAGGTGAAGTATCTAGCACCCCATCCTCGTCTCCCCCAACCCGGTTCTCATGCCCTCCTCCAGAAAGATAATCTAAACTGCAGAGGAGGACCCTGAGGAAGAGTATTCTGGACAAGCAATAAGCAAGAAAGTGAGAAAGTTCCTCCCTGACACAGAGCCCCTAGGGGCCAAGCCCACATGCAAAACACCAATAGTTTTCACTTTGCATTTAAGCTTGGCAACAAATTGAGCATGATCACAAAAAGGGGGGGCGGGTAGAGAAGCGGGCTACCAGTTCCTACAAAAGGAGTGGGCTACCAGTTCCTACAAAAGGGGATTTCTGAGTGGCCAAATGAGAAATGAAAAAATTTCACAATGGGGAAAGCTAGGCTTAAAAGGAAAACATGTTTGAAAATTACAACTGTGCATGTCTGATCAGAGCAATGAAGGTCAGCAGAGAATGGACCAAAGGCAGACACCACCCTCAGGGTGCTTTTGGCTTCTTTACCTCTGGAATAAGCCACTGGGCAGTGGGGAGGGCGCTTTAATGGGGACAGGAATACCCTCTGAGCAGTTGGTCTCCAAAGTGAGCACCCACGTCCCGAGTACACAAGATGATACACTGGGATACATAAGTTATTAGTACACCCCTTCATATTTTTAATATCCTTTTTCATTTACATTTGTGAATGTTTTGTAATATATAACTACCAATATAGTAGCAGATGTAAATAACTGCTAAATAAATGGATATAAGCTGGGGATATATGCTTACAAATATTTATCAATGAATTCTGAATTTCAACTGCATTTTTAAAAACCAATTTACATCAGACACTAATTCTTATTGGCCTATCTTTCTTTTTTAAATCATCGAGGATATTTTTCCATTGATTTCTAGAGAGAGTGGAGGGAAGGAAGAAGCGGGGGGGGGGAGAGAGAGAGAGAGAGAAACATCGACATGAGAGAAGACACATTGATTGGTTGCCTCCTACAAGCACCTGCAACCGAGGCATGTGCCCTTGACCGGAAATCAAACCCAAGACCCTTCGGTCTGCAGGCTGATGTTGTAACTACTGAGCAAACCAGACAGGACCTATTGCCCTTTCTTTAGTTAAACCCAATACAATACTATTTCTCAAGGAGCCTAATTTCCTACCTGTATACCTAGAGAGAGACTCTACGGAGAGCAGGCTAGACTCACTGCTTGGCTATGACACTGGGTCATTTCTAAGAACCTGGGTCATACAAGAACTTGTTCATGCTGTCTCATCATATGCTAGCAGAACATTATGCACATCCCAGGTGCCCACAAACACCTGAAGTGTAAATGCCTCCTGCTGAAGCAGGAGCTTTACAAAGACTGGGATTTCATTCTGCTAAGGAATGGGCTGCCTGTGCTCAGCCCCACAGGCCTCCATAATGCTCAGAAACCACACAACTCCTGTGAGACCGTGAGTGCCAAGATGGTAGGGAGTTCAGTGCCACTGAGCAGCTACTCTGTGCTACTGGGAATGCTGAACCAGCAAGTCCTGTGATGCCAATCTCCTTATTTTGTTTTAAATTCCTAGTGTCTGATCAATAAACACTTGCTGAGTTAATGATTAAGTAGTTTGTGTTTTTTCAAAATATATTTTTATTGATTTCAGAGAGGAAGAGAGAGGGAGAGAGAAAGAGAGATACATCAATGATGAGAGACAATCATTGAGCTGCCTCCTCCTGCACAGCCCCTACTGGGGATCGAGCCTGCAACCCAGGCATGTACCCTTGACTGGAATCGAACCCGGGACCTTTCAGTCCATAGGCTGACGCTCTATCCACTGAGCCAAACCGGCTAGGGCTGAGCAAGTAGTTTCTAATTGCTGAATCCTCATATTCAAATTAAAAGAAAAATAGACGTCCACCCAGAACCAGGGCTATGCCTTGCCCATTTGAATACACGAGCCTGAAAACTAGAAAGAGAAGTCCACCACCCATATAAATATCCTATCATGCATTCTGAATTCAAATGTATGATATTTTTAGCCTATTTTTAGCTCGCTGTCCTTTATAGGAAACAATCAAGAAACAAATAGACATACTGGTGACTGACTTTTAAACATCTGTCTGCTCCCAAGATAGGAACTACTCTGCATAAACCAGGATGGTGGAGCTTTCTCCACACAGCTGCTAGATCTCATTTAGAAACATAGTTAAAACAATTACAGAACTTTTATTTGCATATTACACCTCATTAACTTAGAATTAGCTTACTGTCTGGAATTGTCAGAAACATCTTGGAACTAGTTTCTTCTCCCACAAGAAAAAAGGAGCTAATTAAGTTGGCCAAAAAATAGCCAAGGCCTCTTAGAATTTCATCTTGAGGTGACATGGTAGGTATTTTATCAGTCACATGATCATATACTGCTAGAGTCAAGATTAAGGTCTGCTTTAGAACCTTCATTAATGGCAATGCTAGATGCTTTACAAACTTTATTTCATCACAAACCTATAAGGAAATAACATTGTTGTCTTTTCATAAATGGAGGCTCTCAGAACTGATGTACCCTGCTCAAGATCCTAACTAAAAAGCAGGAGAACCACGATGTCAAATCCAAGTCAAGTATGCTGTACTGTCTCAGATAAGGTAGTAATTAAAAAGAAAAATAAGAATGTCTTCACAAGTTACTACAATAATAGAACTACTTTATTAAACATATGAATGTACTTATTTTGTACAAAACACGGTGACATTTCTTTCTCTCCTCTGCCACACGAGGCTACCACTCCAGAACTTCCTATTTACCAAAACACTTGGCAGCAGTCATGACAAGTAGAAGAAAAGTGCAATTCTGAAAGTAACACCACATAACCAAAATGGGGAACAAAACCAGGCAGAAGTTAGCAGGTTTCTTGGCTAGCTCTCTGCTGACAGACCCTAATCGTACTCAATAGGTAATATTTTAGGAATAGAGACTCCTGAGTATTTAAGTAATACTGCCCAACTCTATTGGCAGCATCCCTCTTCTACTTCCATCTATCCAGATGGTATTATAACTACCGAATTTGTAACTTCTTTTAAGAAATTCCACTTTGGCTCACACCCCTATGAGTTGCCTATCTCACTTTGAATTTCAAAATAACGGAAGAGCAGTAAGTTTCAAAATGATGTCAATTGAGACATTTTATGGATGAAACCTACTTTCTAGAAGTCAACTGTTCAAAACATATGCACAGCTGGACACGACAGACTGAGAAAATAGGTCCCGCTGGAAAATATGTTGGGTACCAATTAGATCCAGTTATTCTGCATCTGTGGATTTAAAATGATCATCATCCACAGTGGAATAGATGTGTCCCTCGTTGCTTAGAAAATCCACAGCTTGCCTAAAAAGAAAGGGAGGGGAAAAGGCTCATTTTCTTTCTTTATAAAAATTTTTATATTAAAACTTTTTTTTTCAGCTGTGACTCCAGACAGGATCCAAAGAGGAGTTTTATCATCTCTTCTCTGGGTTTTATGGAGACTTAGTTTACCCTTCTGTGTTAGCCTCTTAAGGCACTGAGTCAACCTTAAAAGGGCACAGTAAAGGGCGAAGAAAGGGAACTGCCTTTCTGACATTGCCAAATATGTAAACCTCACTACCTCCCCACTTTCTATCTTAGCTAAGAATTCACATCCATTTGCTCACAAAAAGCTCTTGCAGGGAGAGATGCCAGTAAAATTACAAAACTGAGGTAATCCATGGAGGCAATGGCTACTGGGAGAGGGCTGCCTTGGATAACTCTC